TATAGGTTCTCGATGTAGGTATTGATGATCATGTGGATTTCTGCTGGGTCCATTGTAACTTCATCCTTTTCATTCCTAATTGCATGGATTTGGGTCTTTTCTTTCCTTTTTCTGATGAGGTTGGCTAAGGGCTTGTCAATTTTGTTTATTCTTTTGAAGAACCAACTCAGCTTCATTGATTTTTTTGTATTGTTCTCTTATTATCAATTGCATTGATTTCTGCCATGATATTTATAATTTCCTCCCTTGTATGCTCTTTTGGTTTGTCCTGTTCTTCTTTTTCTAGAAGCTTGTGATTCAGCATCAGGTTGTTTAATTGGGCTTGCTCTGTTTTCCTAATATAAGTATTCAGAGCTATAAATTTCCCTCGTAAGACTGCTTTCATTGTGTCCCATAGATTCTGATATGTGTTGTATTGTCATTGCTATTTAATTGTAGGCACTGTCTGATTTCATCTTTAATTTCCTCTGTGACCCATTGGTTATTCTGAAGTGTGTTGTTCAATTTCCATGTGTTTATCAAATTTTTCTAGTTTGTTTTGCTATTGATCTCCAATTTCATCACACTATGGTCTTATAATATACAGGGGATAACTTCGATTCCTTTGCAGTTACTTAAATGTGTTCTATGAGTGAGTATGTGATCTATTTTGGAGAATGACCCATGTGTAGCTGAAAACAATGTGTATTCAAATTTTATGGTGTGGAACACTATGTAAACATCTGTTAAGTTCCTTTGTTCCAGAGTTTGATTGAGTTCTAGTGTTTCATTATTTATTTTTTGTCTAGGTCATCCATCTGCTTGTAATAGTGGGGTATTGAGGTCCTCTATGCACCAGTGTTTGGTGCATATATATTTATCATTATCATTTCTTCCTCTTGGATTGTTCCCTTTGCAAGGATGTAGTGTACTTCTTTGTCTCTTTTAATCAGTGTTGGTTTGAAATCCATTTGATCTGCAAAGAGGATAGCTACTTTTGCTTTTTAGGGGGTTCCTGTCACATGGAGTATTGTTTCCCACCCTTTAACTTTCAGGCTACTAGTTTCTTTTTTAATTAAATGTGTTTCTTGTATGCAGCATATTGTTGGATCTTGCTTCTTGACCCATTCTGCCAGTCTATTTCTTTTGACTGGTGAATTGAGACCATTAATATTGATGGTTATAACTGATATGTATTGACTTATCATTGTTATGACTTTCTCTTTTTGTTGGATTCTCCCCCTTTGTATTTAATTTCTTGTCATACTCAATGGATTCATTCTGCTGAGTTTCCTGGGGTTGTAATCCTTATTGTCTTTTCCTAGGATTTTGTCTGAAATTTTTTGGAGTGCTGCTCTTTATCATGAAAGTATCTTATTTCTCCATCAATTTTCAAAGATAATTTTGCAGAGTACATCAATCTGGATTGGTCACTGTTTTCCTTTAGGGCTTGAAATGCATCACTCCAAACTCTTCTTGCCTTGAGGGTTTGTATTGAGAAGACTGCTGTGATTCTGATGGGCCTTCCTTTGTATGTGATTTGCTTTTGTTCTCTAACCATTTGTAGAACTTTGTTCTGTTGGGTTTCTGGAATCTTAAAAATTATATGCCTTTGTGTAGATTTTCTTTGATCAAGGCTAGTTGTAATCCTATATGCCTCACCTGTATGTCAAGTTCATTTCCCCTGCTTAGGAAGTTTTCTGCCATCACTTTTGTGAACATTTTTTTTTTAATGTAGTCTTCACCCTCTCCTGTTTCTTCACTGACTCCAATCAATCTTATGTTATTTTAGATTTTTGTGCAATCTCCATACCATTATTCATAGTTGTTGTACTCATTACATTTGCACCAAAAATGTAGAAGAGTTCCTTTTTCCCTGAAGCCTCCCAAACATTTGTTATTTTTCAACTTTTTAATGAAATCCACTCTTTTGAGAGTAAGATGGAAGCTGAGTGTTATTGAAATTTGCATTTCTGTAAGGTCCAAAAATGTTGAACATTTGTGCATGTTTATGTTGGCCATTTGTCCTTCTTTTTCTGGGAAGTGTCTGTGCATTTCAGTTTCTTCTTTTTTGGATACAATCTTTTATTTTATGGAAGTTTAATTTTTCTGATTACTTTGTATATTCTAGATACTAGTCTTCTCTGCAAGGGTAGCTGGGAAATATTTTCCTATTTTGTAGGTTGTTTCTTTATGTTTTCTTTGCTGTGCCAAAGCTTTTTAATTTGATATAATCTTATTTATTGATTCTTGATATTATTTCTTGTATCATTGGGGTTTTGTTCAGAAAGTCCTTCCTCTATGGCTATGTCTTCAAGGATTCTCCTAATTTTGACTCCTGCTGTATTGTTTGTTTTAATATTTAGATTTTTTCTGTTGTACTATTTGATACATTTTGAGTTAGTTTAGTGCTAGTAAGAGATAAAGGTCTACATTCAATCTTCTGCGTGTATTAAGCCAGTTTTCTCATCACCAAGTGTTGAGGCTTCATTTTCTCAAGCATATGTTTTTGCCATTTTGTCAAAAACCACATGGTTGAATGTGCCTGAGATTTTTTTTCATCCTCTATTCTGTTCCATTAATCCACATTGTGTGTGTGTGTGTGTGCGCGCGTGCCAATACATACTGATTTCATCACTGTAGCTTTGTAATATAACCTGAAATTTTAATTGTGATGTCTCCTGCTTTGTCCATTTGTTCTTTTACCATGTGTTAGCATTTCATGCTGTGGACAAGAAACCCACAATAACAGGAAACACAGTGACAGTAACAGATTTCATATAACAAAGTAACTTAAAATGATTAGAATATGGTTGGTAGCAATTGGATATCTGCTGTGGATTTACTCTCAAATATCTCAAATAATCTAAATGAGAAGCTTAGGTGAAAGCAGTATTTTCAGTCTATGTAAGCAATTATGAATAGTTTCAGTGTACCACTGGTAGGATTTCTGGAGTCAGAAGAAATTTTGTTCAGCAACTGTAAAAACTGAGAAGAGCATCTTGCTTATGAAAACCACTCAATATCTAAATTTAGAATGATGGGATCTAACAAAATGATTAAATTGATTTAACTATAAAACTCATTGAGTTATAGTCTTATAATAGGCCTGATTTGGTTTAAGCAAATTATTTTTAATAAATTACATTAAATAATGTATACAAAATGAAACACATAAGTCCAGGCATGAGTACTCCTATTTCCAGTAAAAGTTCATCTATCAACTAAATAGGAGGGAGCAATGAAGGAGTGCACAGCTCATTTAGATTCTTCTGACACTGTCACAAACTTTTCAAAAGAAACTTCACTGTTGCACCTGCAAATCAGTGTGAGAACAAATGTAAACCTGATTTTTCATAAAAATATGTCAGTGATGAGGAAGGAGCACTTCTGAGATACACTTCTTGGGAACATTTACAGTAGGGTTATATGGGGTGATAAAGAGGAGATCAGAGCATACAGAATTTCTTGTCCATAAAGTGGTTATTCTTCTGGAAAGTCTGAAATCATTAACTCAAGGAATAACTTCAGACTAAATGGAAACTGGGTACTGGGTGCATGTGTGGTAAAAACTTGCCAATAATAGGCAATAAATAATGAGGAGGAGTTGGGATATTAGGTTTCTATGGATGAGAGTTTTTAAGGAAATACAAGGTAGCACAGGATGAAAAAAGAAAGAAAGGGAATAAAGAGAAAAGATAAAAGAAAGGGTTTGTCCCTACAGTGGAATAAAAACAAAAAAATAAAAATGGCATACTAGTTTCATGATTTACATCACACCATGTAAATAGATCTTACATACACAATTAACTATATATACAATTAACCAGAGGCTTGAAAACACAACAAGTATTTCATTTTAAAAGCCCATAATTAAATCGTGGAATCCTGGAATAACAGCAAAATTATCTCAGTTATGAGGGCCTTGGTTTTTCAATAAATCAAGATATTCATGACCTTGTCTGAAGCACATTACTGAGATAATGTGATGCTGCACTTCCTGTGGTTTCTCCACCCTCCACCAAGGAGGTATAAAAGGCTCTAGGCAGACAGTGATATTCAGACAAAGACACCTACTCCCTGGTCCTCTGCAGAACAGTCCACTCCTGACACCATGAGCTACTACGGCAACTACTATAGTGGCCTGGGCTATAGCTATGGTGGCCTAGGCTGTGGCTGTGGCTTTGGCTCTGGCTATGGTGGCTGTGGTGGCTATGGTGGCTGTGGTTACAGCTGTTACCACCCCCTGTGCTATAGAAGATACTGGTCCTGTGGCTTCTACTGAGGAATTTCTGCAGCTTCTTAACCTATTGGCTACAACCTCCTCTTCTACTGGAATTTTCTCTGACTTTCTTTACATGATACATTTTCAAATATCTTCAAAAACGCAAACCATACACTAAATTCTCTGAAAAGCAAAGTAAATGCAGCATACCATTTGGATTCATCTACATTAGTTGGATTATATAATAGTTTGCAGCAAAGTTTCTGTATTATTTTGACTCTCAATTTTTGAATTAAAAGATGTATTATTAAATAAATATTTATTTTAACATAAGTATGGCTTTGGGACTGTTCTACTACTTATGAGTTTTAGTTATATATTTGCACATTTGTTTGTGATTAATCACATGAATGTGATTGTGGTTTCCTCAAAGAAAATGACAGAGGGATAGCTCAGTGGCACTATGCCTGCCTGGCAAGCACTCAGGGATCTTTAGTACAATCCCTGGTATTGGGAAAAAAAAGAAAATGACAGAGAGAGAAAGGAAGGTAGGATGGGTGGGGAAGGCAGAAGTGAAATAGGAAGCTCTTTTGTGATAATAAAGGGTCTAAAATGAATGAGTAAAAATAAGTCCTTCTCACAGATCATAGAATTTTGCTTTTATATATATCTCACCTACCATTTTTATTTGTTTGTGCTCTTCATCTAAGTTTTATAAATGACTATTTCATCTGTATACACTGTGTCATTTACAACAAGAGTGGTTGGATTCTATCAGCTAGCACTCAAACTCTGAAAAATGTTTCACATTTTTAAAAAATATTATGCCTAGAGGATGATTTTAGATGTTGTCTTAGTCACTTTTCTCATCGCTTCCACAAATACCTGACACCCTAAACTTAAAGGAAAAGATTTTTGTTTTGTCTCATGGTTGGCTGACTCCAAGGTAGAAACGTTCGAGTGAAATGGCCTGTGAAGAGTTTAAACTAGTCCTCTCATGACAGCCAAGAAACAGAGGGAAAGGAGGAGACGGAGCAGGAGATGCATCCTTCCACATCACACCATAATAAAGCAGCCTCCAATCAGCCTCACCTCCTCGAAGCACACTCAGCTTCTGAGATGTTAGTAGATGAACACATTGATAGGTCCAGCACCCCATGATCCAGTCACCTTTCCAAAGCCCAACCTCTGAGTGCATGAGTGTTTTCCAGGACATCCTCAAACTAAATCATTACTGACATTACTATACAGAAAATGGCAGGAAAAATAATGACATTCTGGCTTACTAATAGCTTTTGAACATAACAGCAATTTTTTGTATCCAGTCACAAAATAATATGTGTACTGTGTATATCAAGAATAATTTTGTCTAAAATCATGAGATAACTGTTCAGGAATGAATTGACTTTAGATTTTTTTTAATCCCTAATCCTGGACATTATCAACTGTGCTCATGAGGTTGATTTTCTCCACATTAAAATTTCTTCCATTCTAAAAGAAATTAGTTTTCACCTGAATGCAGCAGCATAAAATTAAACAGGAAGCTTCTTTCTTCTTTCAAGAACCCTCCAATACCATAAATTAAAATGATACAACATAATTTAAACAGATGTTAGCTGTAAAATTTATTGAGTCGTACTCCTGTTAGGTTTCTTTTACACAAATTATATTTAATACATTGAATTAAAAAAATTATAACAATACAAAAAATATAAATTCATGACTGAGTATTCTTATTTCCATTAATACTTCATCTGTCACCTAAAGTCTGAGGGAACAAAGAACATTTTACTCCTCAGACTGCCGTGCACTTTTCAAAAGTACATACAAGCCTTTTGTGAGATTCAGAGTAAACCCCGATCTTGCAAAAAGGGAAGTGATACTTGTGGATGAAGCAACAACTTAACCTTTCACTGTTACATCCCCAATATGTTTATATAGGGTGACAAAGACGAGTATACATTTTCTGTCCAAGAAATGCTCATTTATTTCCAGGATACTTTGAAAGCATTTACTGAAGAAATATAGTCAATTTAAATCTCCTCTGTATACAAATACGATAGGAACTTGCCACCAATTACCAATAGAATAGTTCATTTTCATCATGAACAAGAGTCAGAAAATAAATTCCTACAGAGAAGACTATTCAAGAATGAAAAGGACAGAGAAGAGAATGGGAGGAGGGGGGGGAGGGAAAAAAGGAAGGAAGACAGAAAAAAAGGAAAGAAAGAAAGACAAATGTTGCTGTGTGGGAATTGAAACAAAACAAAACAAAAATAAAAATGAGACACCTAATATTCATGATTTGTATAACAAAAAGTAATCAGGTCATTTATGCACAATTAAATATAGAGCAAACCAGAGTCTCGAAAATAGAACAAGAGATTCATTTTAACACCTCATAATTTGATCATGGAATTCTGACATAAGATCAGAATTATCTCTGTTAAAAAGGCCTTGTTTTCTCAATAACTACATATTTATGGCATCCTCTGAAACACATTTGTGAGATAATATGAAGCTCCACTGCCTGTGGTTTTCCCCACCTACTGGCAAGGAGGTATAAAAGCTCTTGGCAGATGACAGTGACATCCACACAGAAAATACCTCCTTCCCATAGTCAGCTGAACAGTCCACTCCTGACACCATGAGCTTCTACGGCAACTACTATGATGGCCTGGGCTGTGGCTATGGTGGCTATGGTAGCTATGGTAGCTATGGTAGCTATGTTAGCTATGGTGGCTATGGTTACAGCTGTCTCCGCCCCCTGTGCTGTAGAAGATACTGTTCCTTTGGGTTCTACTGAGAAATTCCCACAGCTTCCTAACCTATTGGCTATAACCTCCTGTTTTACTAGAATTATCTCTAATTTTCTTTACATAAGAAACTTTTAGATGTCTTCAGAATCACCAACTATATAAAAAATAATCTAAAAATATTTAATCCGGCAAGATATTTTCATTCATCAGTGTCATTTGCAGTTTGTGATAGTTTATAGAAAATTATCTATATCATTTTATATCACTGTAAACTATGATCAAATTTGACTCACAATTTTTATTTTAAAACATATATTATTAAATAAATAATATTTCAACTGAACTATTGCTTTGTTACTGTTCTCCATTAAGAAAATTGATTATATTTGTGTAATTGCATGTGATTAGTCATATTGTGTGTATATGAGAGAAAAATAAACAGAGAGAAAGGAATGTAGAAGAGAAAGAGAGAATGGGGGAAACTCTCTCATGGTAATTATGGATCTAAACTGAATGGGTAAAATATCAGTTCATTCTCATAGATCATACTAATTTGCTTTGCATACATCTTTTAATCTCATCTCCCATTTGTGTTTATTTATGCTTTTTGTCTAAGTTCTTTAAATGGTTATTTATACAAAAACATCTGTTCACATAAGATCATTTAAAACTGACTATATCTGTATGCTTAATGTCATTTGTGACATAATGTTCGGTTATATCAGTGAGGGCTCTATGTAAAGATGTTTCTAATTTTTAAAAATATTCTGCCTAGAGAATGATTACAGGTGTTGCCTTAGACACCTTGCTCATCACTTGGACAAAATGACACCCACAAGGCTCATGGCCAGCAGCCTCTGAGCAGAAATGGTATGGCGAAAAACAAAACAAAAACTATTTGCATGGTTCCAGTGCCTGCCTCACAAGTGCAAGGTTCCAAGTTCGATCCCCTATCAAAACAAACAAACAAACAAACAAAAAAATGCAGGCCAATTTCTTGGGGCCTGGGATTTAGCTCAGTGGTGCGGCCGCCTGCCTAGCAAGCGGAAGGTCCCGAGTTCGATCCCTGGTACCAAAAACAAAACAAAACAAAACAAAAGAAAACAAAAAACTATGTGCAGGGTTAGTTCTTCATCTCACTGCAGGCAAAAAGGGTGAGAAAGGAGGAGCCAGAGAGGGAGATCCACCCTCAGGATCACACAGGCTATGACCAGCTTCTTACCATGCTCCACCTCCTAATGGCATGCTTTGCTCGGACACATGAATGATGAATACACTAGAGGCAGGCGGCAGAACCGCTGAGCTAAATCCCCGGCCCATGAATACACTTGAGTGTTACCTCACGATCCACTAACCTTCCCATCGCCCTGCCTCTGCATGCATAAGTTCTTCCCGAACATTCCAGTTCCAAAGCGTGACAGATACTGTCACAATGAAAATGGAAGCAAAAATAATGACATTCTGGCTTACCCACATGGCTCCAAGTAAGTCTGTACATATACCAATTTATTCAAAAGATTTAGAAAATTATACATATATATATCATAAATATATATCATATATATCATATATCATATATATATATCATATATCTATCAAAAGATTTAGAAAATTATACATATGTATATATATATATATATTCCATTTCAGGAGAGTTTTTTTCCAAAATCATTACATATTTCCCCAGGGACAAATTTTCATTCAATTTTTATTTATTTTTACCCCAAGCCCCGGTTTTTATGAAATGTGTGTGTTCATAGATGCTGATTTTCACCAGTTTAAAATTACTCTCATCCTACAAGAAATTAATTTTCACTTGTGTGCAGCAACACAAAATCCAAAGGAAGCTTTTTCTTCCCTTAAATACCTTCCACTACCTATAATTGAAACGATAGCACTTATTTAAATTAATTTTGACTGTAAAATTCATCAATCTGTACTCCTACAACAGCATTATTTTGTTTTATGCAAATTGCATTGAATAAATTCAAAATTTTAGAACAATAAATAATACATAAGTCCATGACTGAGTCCCTCTACTTCTATTAATTTGTTACCTATCACCTAAAATCTGTGCAAAGGAGTACCCAGATTCTTTGATTCCTCTTGTGCTCTCATACACTTGAAAATCAATGTCACTGCTGTACCTGCAAGCCTTTTGTGAGATCTAAAGCAAACTCTGATTTTGTAAAAAGGGACATAATAGTTGAAGGTGGAGTGCTAGATTAACCTTAATGTGGCTAATACGTCTACAATATATTTATATATGTTGACAAAGACAAACATGGAGGTTTTGTCCATAAAATAGCCATTTATTTACTGTTTAAATGATTTCTATATACAAACATGATAGTAACTTCCACCAATTACCAATAGCATAGTTCATTCATCATGAACAAGAGTCAGGTAATGAATTCCTAGAAATAGGACTATTCAGGACTGGAAATGAGAGGGACAGGAAGGGAGGGAGGAAGGAAAGAAAGAAAGAAAGAAAGAAAGAAAGAAAGAAAGAAAGAAAGAAAGAAAGAAAGAAAGAAAGAAAGAAAGAAAGAAGGAAAGAGAGAGAGAGAGAAAGAGAGAAAGAGAAAAGAAACAAGAAGAAGAAGAAGGAAGAGGAGGAGGAGGAGAGGAAGAAGAAGAAAGATGAAGAGGAAGGAGGAGGAGAAAGGGAAGGAAGGAAGGGGGAAGGAAAGAGAGAGAAGGAAGGAAGGGAGGAAAGGATGGAGGAAAGGAAAATAGACAAAGGTGTTCATGTGCAGGAATTGAAACCAAACAAAACAATGATAAAAATGGAACACCTAATTTTCCCAATTTGCATCTCAACATATAATCTGGTGATATGTACCCAATTAACTAAATATAGGATAAAGTATCTTGAAAATAAAACAAATTCATTTTAATAGCCCATAATTTGATCATGGAATACTGACATAAGAGCAAAATTATCTCAGTCATGAGGGCCTTGTTTTCTCAATACATATTTATGACATTATCTGAAGCTCATTGGTGAGGTAATATGAAGCTCCACTGCCTGTGGTTTTCCCCACCCACCTTCAAAGAAGTATAAAAGGCCCTAGACAGACAGTGACATCCAGACTGAAGACACCTATTTCCTCGTCCTCAACAGAACAGTCCACTCCTGACACCATGAGCTACTTCGACAACTGTTACAGTAGCCTGGGCTATCTCTGTGGTGTCCTAGGCTGTGGCTCTGGCTATGGTGGCTGTGGTGGCTATGGTTACGGTTGTCGCCGCCCTCTGTGCTGTAGAAAATACTGGACCTATGGGTGCTACTGAAGAATTTCCAGAGCTCTTAGCCTATTGGTTATCATCTCCTATTTTACTGGAATTATCTCACATTTTCCTCACATGAAAAGCTAAAATGTCTTCAAAAACACCAACTATACACAACATTATCTTAAAAAATTAAATCAGCCATCTATTTTGACTATCATTTTGATTATGTGATATTTACAGAAACATGTCTGCATTATTTTTGTGCTTTATAAAATGTGATCAAATTTGACTCTCATTTTTGTACAAAAGTCATATTATTAAATAAAATGTTTCATCACACATTTTGCTTTGTACTGCTCTATGTTTAGTTTTGCTTATGTATTCTTTTATTTCTGTGTGATTAGTAACACATGTGTGGTTGCGGTGTTTGAGTGAGACACACACAGAGAGAGGGAGAGAGAGGAAGGGGTAGCTCCTTTTAGATAATTAGGATTCTAAACTAATTGGGTATAAAATATGAACTCCTTCTCACAGATCATACAAACATGTTTTTACATATGTCTTTTAATCCTTCATACCATTTCTGGTTGCTCATGGACATCATCTAAGTTTTTAAAATGTCTATTTCTGTAATAACATCTGTATTTATATCAGATCATTTAAAATGTGTGCATCTTTATGTTTCATGTCATTTGCAACACCCTTGGTTGGATTCTGTCTCCTACAGTTTTAATTCTGTAAAACATTTTTTCATTTCTTAAAAAAGAAATTCTGCCTAGAGGATAACTATTGGAGTGGTCTTAGACACATTTCTCATCACTTAGACGAAAAACCTGACACTCAAATCACAGAGGAGGAGAGGTTAATTTCGGCTGATGCCCAACAGACTCCAATGCACAAGTGGCAAGGTGAAAGCGCCTGGGCAGAACTCTCCATCTCCTGGTAAGTGAAAAGCAGAGAGAGAACAGAGGAGCCTCAGAGGGAGATACAGAGATACAGAGATACAACCTTCAAGGCCACCCCCCAGGAACCAACCTCTAAGGAGCCCCCACTTCCTAAGGGCACACTGGGCTCCTGAATCATTAGTAAAGGAATACATTGATGAATAGAGCATCCCCAGGATCCAGTCACCTTTCATAAGCACTGCCTCTGCCTACATGAGTGTTTTCAGGGACTTTCTAGATCTAAACCTTGACTGGGGCCATCACATTGAAAATATCAGCAATAATAGGACATTCTGGCTTACTAATATGGCACCAAATTACATGTCAAATATCCCACTTTATTTTAACTATTTAGAAAATAATATAATTATTTAGATAATAATATATCAAGCATAATTTTTTCATAACCATGACACATTAGCTAAGTAAGAATTTGACATTATAATTTTACTTTATTTTAACCCTAAAGTCAGTCCTCATCGAATGTATGTGCTCATGCATGCTGATTTCCTCCAGATAGAAACTGCTTCCATACTAAAACAAATTTGGTTTCACTTGGGAAACTCCAACTGATACCATAAAATGCAATGAAATGCTGGACAGAGTAAAGATTAAAGTTACCACTGTTCTGAATACAAAGAACTTTTGAAAATGTAAGTTGAAATCCATTGTTCTTAAAGCCAGGAGGCAGGCAGGAGTCTGCTGAGAAATGTATAATCAGCGGAATTTTGTAGCCTACACCCTCCCCAAGGCTAGCAAACCACAGTTGGAGAAATAATAAAATACCATCCTGAAAATGATGTAGTATTAAAATACTGAGCTTAACACAAACCAAAGTTATTCACTGAGATACTTTGCAATTTCTCAAATTGCAGGGGTCTACTTCCCAAATGAAAAACCAGACTCATTTGAAATTTTGTCCAAAACAAGATGATGAGAAAATAATCACTAATCTTCAGAATTTGCTAAGAAGAAGTACATTTAATTGAATAGGCAGTATGTC